TTGTCGTAGGTGGACAGGAATACAAAAATAAAAAATAAAACCGTAAAAATTATTGTATATGGATAGGAATAAAATTCAATTCGAGAGTTTCAGAGTTTCATATTCTTTTATTAGATGTGGTGGTTCTTATAAGAACCGTTTTGCGGAAAATCCACCGTTGATCACTGCTTGTTCACGAAACTAACGTTGGTCGTTTTCTTTATCTCTAGAGGGGGAGAATGCTGCATCCCTTCCAGCCATGCCTCTTGGTTGTGCCCACGCTGGACTTCCTGCTGCTCTTGCCATCGCCTTAATTAGGGCATGTTGTGCCCTCCTTTTAGCGAAATCGCTTTCCCTTCTTTCAGCGTTGTCCATCCAGCTATACGGTACTAATGCTATACAGAACATGACACATAATCTGGCCTATTTATGTAAAGCACCCTCTCAAACAGTAAAAAAGAGCGGTCGTGGCCGACAAACTTGATAAACAATTATTTCCGATCTTTACTCTTATCCACTCTGTAAACATCGTCTTTTTAACGACTTTTTGCATGAAGTTCAGTTTCGTAAAATATTCCATCAAGAATTTCCTTGAACTGAAATATAACTGAGAAACTTTGTCAAATACAAATATCACTAATCTTGTAAGCGATTCGCTTAAATACCGAAAAACAATAAGCCTAAAGATATACGAAGTTTTTACGAAAGCATTGGATGAAATTAATCTTCCAGAAGATTTAATACGAAACCCTGAACGACTTCAACTTTTCGAAACTCACGTGTACGAAAAAACTCCTGATAAAGAGCATCAGTCACCAGAAAATGACAAACCGGCATTTTCGGCGGCCAAGAAAAGGGCTGGAAAATTGCAATGGAAAACAAACTTTTAAAATACTTGATTATGTTTAAGCATTCAGTGTAAAAAATTGTTGTGAATAAAATTCGGAGGAAAAGTTATGTGGTGTACTATTTGAATAATTCCCCATTATTTTCGTCAATAGCCAAATCAGTCGATGATGATGATGATGATGATAGCAATATTGAATCAGCATCGTCCAATTCAGCCATTGGCTGGTTTAAATGGATTCCTGACTGTAAAATTGTCGTAGGTGGACAGGAATACAAAAATAAAAAATAAAACCGTAAAAATTATTGTATGTGGACAGGAATAAAATTCAATTCGAGAGTTTCAGAGTTTCATATTCTTTTATTAGATGTGGTGGTTCTTATAAGAACCGTTTTGCAAAAAATCCACCGTTCATCACTACTTGTTCACGAAACTAATGTTGGTCGTTTTCTTCGTCGTCTCTCAAGGGGGAGAATGCTTCATCCCTTCTAGCCATGCCTCTTGGTTGTGTCCACGCTGGACTTCCTGCTCTTCTCGCCACCGCCTTAGGGCAAGTTGTGCCCTTCTTTTCTCGAAATCGCTTTCCCTTGTTTCAGCGTTGTCCATCCTGCTATACGGTACTAATGCTATAGAACATGACACACAATCTGGCCTATTTATGTAAAGCACCCTCTCAAACAGTAAAAAAGACTGGTCGTGGCCGACAAACTTGATAAACAATTATTTCCGATCTTTACTCTTATCCACTCTGTAAACATCGTCTTTTTTAACTGCTTTTTGCATGAAGTTCAGTTTCGTAAAATATTCAATCAAGAATTTCCTTCAACTGAAATATAACGGAGAAACTTTGTCAAATACAACGGCCTATCTTGTAGGCGATTCGCTTAAATACCGAAAAAACAATAAGCCTAAACATATACGAAGTTTTTACGAAAGCATTGAGTGAAATTAATCTTTCAGAAGATTTAATACGAAACCCTGAACGACTTCAACTTTTCAAAACTCACGTGTACGAAAAAAGTCCTGATAAAGAGCATCAGTCACCAGAAAATGACAAACCGGCATTGTCGCCGGCCAAGAAAAGAGCTAGAAAATTGCAATGGAAAACAAACTTTTAAAATACTTGATTCTGTTGCACAAATTTAGTAAGAACAAAATGATGAACTAGTCGCAGCTTTTGTTAGGAAAACGTTTCGTGCATATTCACGCAATGAGTTTGGTCAAAAATCTATAGCAAAGTATACTTAAAAACCATGTAATAGTAATATTTCTATTTGAGACCTAATAAAATATTGAATACATTTGAATTATTGGCTTCACACTATATGTATTTTAACACACACTCGCGCCTACTGTAATTGCTCACAGAGGCTTTGAATTATTTTGTTTTCCCATATAACAAGTAATACTGTAACTAGCGACCTTGCATGTCATTATGTCTGTGCATGTGACAAATATACATTCCGATAGATACAAAATTTAATTAGCTCCTTATTTTTTCTTTGTTGGTTGACCATTGATGAGATAATATATTTTAGCGAATATATATGTCCCAGAAACGTGATCGTTATACTTAGATATCTAAATATGTTGTGCTTATACCATAATCCATATCGTCCAACACTTTGCGCTTGCTATAGGAGTACGTAAAGGCATTCTTCACCTGTGTGTAGGTGAAAACACAATCACCCCTAACGCGAAAACCTCTGTTTGTTGCGGCGCCTGTTGCTTTGCTGCGAAGAACACGCAAATAGGTGTCTTTGTCGATCGCTTTCGTGTACTTATTTCCCCCTTACAACTGAACATTGCGCCTGATGTATTGAAGCAAAAATGCATTTTACTACAGAGCCCAATAATTCCATCGCCCTGAAACTCGGTCTTAAATAAGCCCAGGGTACGTTTGTGAAAAGCTCTAGCCCTCGTCGTTATAATTCCGCGGAAACCAAGCATATTTTTTGCGTTCGTATTCAGCTCGGAGTTCTGGTTGATCACAGCGTCAATACTCTCACCGGAGAGAGCAACAAAGGCTGAGTCCGTGACCGTGCATGCCCATTTCGCAGTACTCAAAATCGCAAGGGTCAACGAATTTATCTCTGAAATCATAATAAAACTCCAACATTCGAAGTTTGGCATACTGATAAACGAAAAATCCTGTTTGAATAGGTAAATTCATGCTAATTGATTTTTTGGTCTTACTTATTTCATAAAAATTGTCGTCTATGACCATGATGTCTAATTTGCGAAAGTGAGAATCGTTCACCGCTAAACCAACGTTTGACTCATCGCAGTATTTAATTAATATATAAATGTTTCTCTTTGTTTGTGAGTGTACGACCATAACTCGAGTTCCCAAATAACTTCATGGCCTCAGCTATAACAGCTGTTGACGGATCGTGGTCCCCTTCACGTCGCGCGTTACTCACCTCCTTTGCATGTACTCGATAACCTCACACATTTTCGTTGCTTCCAAACCATAAATGTTTAATGTACCAGCGTAAAAGTGGTGATGTTAGCAAAATCTTATTTTCAAACATACTGCCTATCAAGCCCCTTCTTGGTTTTTTATTTAATCTGTTTTCCTCAACAAAATTTTGCATATGTTCGCCTATCGCCTCAAACGGAGTGTCTACATTTTTGAAAATTGGACACATGCATTTCCAAAAACTTTTCTTTTTTGTCATCTGGAACTTTTAAATCGCATTCCACAACGCCAAACATTTGACCACTTTCTATCATGCATGGAGAGTAATCGAGGTTCGGACATAGTTGTTCGTACATCGAAACCTTGTGTATATATAGTTTTGTCGAAACAATTTCAAATCGTCGCTCGTCTTCCGCATTTGTTTAATATTCGCATTCCCAAATTTCAATTACAGTATAGCCCCGCCCTTCTAAATAGCGTTTATGTTGCACTGTGCTTATAAAGAACACTCATATATAGGCACTCTACACCGCTCGTTAAAATCTTTATTGTTTAGTTTACATTCATGGTGACCATGAAAGTAGCAGCCGTTAAGCCTATACTGTATATATGGTTCAATAGACCCATGGTTCTCGTGGTGTACAGACGTGTTCCTTCGTGCTCTGCTAAATAACCGAAATTTACCCGCTAATTGGGTAATGAATAACGAATTTAATAGAGATTGAAGAAAGACTGACCGACTGTAGTTTCAATGGCAGGGTTCATAAATAGTCTAAGCCTTGCCTGGACCGGCGAATTCGACTCGTTGAAAGTATTTGTGAAAGACTCTCTGAAACTTGATGGCGAATTGTCTCAGGAAAACAATTACTTGCTAACTTGCTTGTTTCAGAATGTTTGTTTCGGCTTTACGCCTCGAATAGTACCCACATGGCATGTCTTGAGCTAATGCCCAAAGATATAACGCATTCGCATCCGCTGCCATAAAACTTGTTTGCACGGTTTTCCGCCTGCACGAATAAAAGTTTTATCTCGCTTATGATAACAGTTAAAAATTATTGTTGTTTTTAAAGCCATAGTATAAATCTTTGTCACGCTCTTGAAACAGACTGAAGTATGCATGTTCGCGTCAAGCCCAGAAAACAGAAATTCCATTACTAAGCCTGGGACCGAAAATACCATATAAATCTAAACCTTTTCCTGCACTCGAACATTTTCTCGACAGCTTCGACAAAAGGCTCAACATCCAAATTGTTGTACCATATTAAATGTTCTCGAAAATCTTGCATGTTTTGGTTTTGCCAAACTTCCAAACAATATTGATATTCCTCATCTGAAATGTTCGAATTATGAAGCGTCAAAATCTTTTTTCAAGGCTATCAAACCACTCGTAAGGAAAATACCCTTTTTGAGCTGTACAATTATACGCTTTTAAAAATTTATTATAAGTATAGCCTAAGTTACTGTAACCATTACTTGAATCAAGCGATAAAAACCCACTTGCTATTTGGTCGCTGGTTTCGAATCCATTGTAATACATCTAGCGTTCGTATAAAACTTCAGCAAAATCTCTAAACGTAGGATCATTAAATTGTGCACTATAACATTGGTGAATCTAACACGCTAGTGTTATTGGAGGCATAAAAGAATCTCAATTCCCCCGTTTCTACATTTCTTAGCAGAAAACTGAAATTTAAGTTAATCTTAAACGCTCTACGTTGTCTGTGATAAATATTTCTCAGTTCATGAACCAACTGATCAAACGAAAGGTTATCATTTATTCTAAAATTATAAACAGCTTGCCTTGGATGGAGGCGATGTCCAGCGTTGATAACGGGTTCGTATCGACGTAATAGTTCTTCGAACTGATCATCTTCGTTAAGTGGATCTAGTTCGTCAAGCTGATCATCATCCTGTGCTGAATCTTGCTCTTCCTCGTTATAGGTGAATCATCAGGTTCTCCATTGCTTTCCTGCTCGCGAGCTCCAGTTTGGCTCTGGGGCGCTTATTTGTTGTAGTCTGTTCGTGTGTTTCATCTAGAAAAGTATATTATCAAACTTATTGGCAACATTTGTGATTTACCTCCAGCCCACTCTATAGCAGTAATTACTCTATGACCAATCCCTATAAACACCCATGCACTTATCACCGCTTTTGTTATGTACGATACATAAATTAGGTACATGCATGTTCTTCGCCCTCCTAAGTTCAAAGTAAAAAAAATGGCAGCTGATTGTAGCACTACCTGTGTCTGTATAACATCTTCGATATTGTTCTCCCCAATTTGAGCTTTTCCGTGATGAAAATCTGAACCTGAGGTTTCATTAGCAGTGGATCGGTTTTGTCCTGCACGTTGAATATAACATTTATTCTGTCGGGCTGAACATGCATATTTTTGACAAATGGAACAGCGTATACAACTCCACAATTATGACTATGTATGCATGTGCAATGGATTCGATTAGCTCGTTTCACCACTAAATTACAATGCTCACATTTAACCACAGAGGCACAAATAGACCTAACCCGAGCACCAACAGTTGTTTTATGTCGATCAAAACATTCTGGGCTCTTAAAGAATCTATTACACTCATGACGATGTACCCAGCTCACAATTGGACAATTTTGAGTGTAGCACAACTGATTTGCACATATCACCACAGATGTGATCTTCAATTTTATATATCGTATCCTTCTTACATGTACGACAGTATTTCTTACAGGCAAGGAACCCTATAGCGGCCTGCGGCAATCTCGTATGTAATTTTGTTCACTATCGCCATCAATTTTCGCCTTTGCGACTACAATCGCTCTCGCCAAACAAAGATTGTCATTGTTATTCTACAAATTGCACGCTTGCTCTCAAGATGTTTCTCTAAATTTATCAGACATCTTTAATTTCCTCCCCGTTCTACCCTGTGGTGTCTCTGTATGTATAACGTTGACTGTAATAGGATCATCTAACTTAAAATTAGCATTCGATTGGACAATCCGCTCAATTCCGGCAAGAACTCGCTCTGCAGTTATACTTTTTGACGAGGCTTAAACGGTAAATAAACTTGGTGTGTCTATATAGTTGTGGCGTTTGAAGTAAGAAACGGGTTTCATCAGTCATGGGAACACCGTCCAAAATTCTGTCTAACATATTTTCAAATACTTCATGCAACTGTCTTAACATATCAGGTAAATCCGCGCGATGCTGGCATATCATGAAATTGAACTTTATAGTCAAGCCTGGTTGTTTTAAACTCGGTTGTTTTCACGCGGACTTGGGTTTTTTTTACTGACTTAACGTGGTCCAGATTGATTTTCATCACTGCATGTTTGCTCTTTTATGATTTCCTCGCCTGTCTGACACATTTCGTCGAAAACACTGTCGTCCTGCCAATCCTGAAACAATCTATCACGTTGACTATCTCGACTCTCTTTGTCAATCGAATAGACGTGAATGCATGGCAACCTCAAACAAACTCTCGACTATATCGAGTTCACCTAAGTCGACCCCTGAGAAATTTTCGGGATCCAGGCTCCATGGTTTCCTGGAGATAACAATCATATAAAGAATCTGTTGTGCGTTCGAAATTCCGCTCCCCCGCCGCTTCATGCAAAGCAAGGCAGCGAAACAAGCAGAGATTATCGTTGAAAGCCCTTCCCGTTTTACGATCTAAAAGCTAATGTAATAATTGTATGATTAATACCAGTAATGTATCCTGGTAACTCAATAGGTGCTCCAATTGGAACATTAAGTCTAGTTACAGTAACTAAACAATGCACCAATTGTAGAAACACCATTTACTATTCATATTTAGGCGCTGCATTCTCATCCACTCTAAAGGCGGTTTTCCACTAGGCGAAATTTTTCGACCGAATCGAAATTTCTCTTTGTTTCAGAGCTCTCGAGCAGAACTAATTGTAAAAAGACAAAGAGAAATTTCGTTTCGGTCGAAAAATTCCGCCTCGTGGAATCAGGCCTTAGCTAATACGTCTAAAGTTCGCAATACATCTACGAAATGTCTAAATGTGATATCGTCATGTATCATCATAGGTGTGCCTATAAAAAGAATTGTGTTGTGTCTAAAAGAATTAAAAAGAAACACACACCCCTGGTTTACACAATTCGAGTTCCAGTATTTTTTTTTCATTATTGTACATGGGTACTCAAGCTAGGAATCTATATGTTAAGCCTGCCGCACACGAGAGCTATCTGCTGAGCAAAAAGTTACTCGTGCCTGTTAGCTCAGCTGATAGCTCACCGATCAAACATGTTTGATACGTGAGAAAAGGTTGCATGAGGCAAAAAACTCAGTAAAATGTACCCGCACACGGTGAGCTATCGGCTGAGCTAACAGGCACGAGTAACTTTTTGCTCAGCAGATAGCTCTCGTGTGCGGCAGGCTTAAGAAGAACGTGATACCACGAGCTGTTTTGCGTATATATACACCCTGTATATACAGTAATTTGGTGTATATACACCCTGTATATACAGTAATTGTCCGGTATAGCTTTGTCGGCATTCATGCAATTGTGATCATGTTAATCAGAAAAACCTCCGGTATATTCTCGAATAGAGTAAATTAAATCCGCTTAAAAGTGTCGGAAGCATTGCATATATCATATATTATTTTTCTTAATATTATACTTGCTTGATTTGGATTTGTTTTATGTATCGCCAATGGAAGAATAATACATTTTTTCAATTATAAACTTATTTCAATAACATCAATTAACTATCGTTCCTCGTGTAGAAGGCTTGCTATTTAAGAGGGCCTGCTTTTCCAACAAATGATAGCGGTATAATATATTTCAGTTAGATAAAGTCTACTGCAAAACATGTCATCCTTCATGAATCATGTGCAGGACAATTTGCAACCATTGCCAAAATATAAAATATATATGCAATAACCTTGCGTTTTGGGAATATGTTGCAAACTGATTATTTCAAACTGATTAGTTTTTTAGGTGGGTATAAAAGTGCACTCTTGAAAGGAAGATGTTATACATCAACGATGATACCAAGCACTCTTTAATTCGAATATTTTTGAACGAAAAAAGTTTAAAAATGATTTATTTTTATTTTTGGTCATTAATTAATGCCTGAAAAGGAGCTATAGGCGTTTTTCAAAAGATGGCAGCTAAGTGCTGATTTCGTTACAACACACGAGTTACTGAATGTGCATGACAAATGTTCCATTAATCTGTTTCTTCTTTCGAAAATATTCACTTTTAAAAATATTGAAATTTTTACTGTTCCAAATAATTCTGTTAAAAGCAATTAACTTTTACAATTCGAACTTCTTTAATTTAATTTCAAGTTTGGTCAAAACCAAGCGCCGTGA